CAGCAGGAAGCAAAGAGACAGTAATCGTGTCCCTTGAATCTTGAGCTATAGGAAATCTCATCATTTAAAACTGTCGTTCTGTCACTTTTAAAATATCCATATTCGGCACAGAAGCAGTTTCCCATTCTGAAAGGTGTAGATACCTGTGGCAGAGAGACCTCTTGTGATGCAGGAAGAATCAGCATCTAGAATAACTCAAAGAACAAAACCCCAAATGATTTCCACCTGTGTTCCTATATAGGGAGCTATGAGATTCTTGCAGGTTTTTTTTTACATTTTGAAAAAAGGTTATGATGCTTAAGGAGGGTATTCCTGTAATTTAATGGTAGTACAACTAGGAATTTAAAAATAACACTTCTGTTAGAAAAATCATCTGTTTGAAAAACACCTGAGCATGTTATAATAGACCGTTTTAAAGGTATCTCTTGCATGGTTGTTTGCCACATTGTACAAGCAGTCAGTTCCTCTGGTTATTTACGGTCCTCTTCCCTTGCTTACTCTCTCCTGACAGCTCTGTGTGCAGTGTGTCTGATGATTGTTTTTCATGTGCATGAGGCAACTATATCACTCTGCCATTCACTCATTAACAAATTCGACTTGCTTAGTACTCAGTTCCCACTTATGCTGTAATTCCTTTATCCCCACCCCAATGTTTTAGAGTTTTTTCCTAATATCCTATCAAGTTTTAGCACAGGGCTTTCAGTTCTTCTCTGGAGGACTTCTTCAAGGCTGCAGTATATTAAAAGATACATATATCTTTAAGAAATTCTTCAAATTTCTTGCCAGTTCTACATTGCTTGCTTCCCAAATGCGCAAAGAATATCTCACTATCTTGTTTAGAAATTTCTGGAATGATTGACATTACCTGAACCTAAGGCATTACTTGTCCTTCCATATCTGTTTGTCTTCCTGGGCCTATAAGGCAAGAAGAGTTGAAAAAGTGGAGGGAGACTGATGCTGAGCACTAAGTGGAGGCTTCAGGATATTGAACTGGAGCATTCAGGGCATCATCTCAGCTGGGGCTGTGGTTGAGGTAGTGTAGTTCAGAGGAAAAAAAGTCGCAGTGTAGCTTAGTCATTCCTGTGTCACTCTTTAGGAATTTTGTACTGAAACAAGTTTAGGAATTTTGTACTGAAACAAGCCGATAAGCTCCAAAACAATACAATGTGAATAAGAAGGAGAGATTGACACAGGAAGGTACCTGTAAATGAAGGATTCTGTTATTCTTGATGTATCTGTTCCTTTTTTTTTTCTAGCAGTGTATTTTAGCTATCATTGATGTAATATTTTGTGTTGTGTATCATGAAGCATTAGGTGTTAAACTTAACACAGTCAATGTAAAATAAGAGAAAACTTCTGTGTGTTGCTTTTTGGTCTTCAATTGTTTTCTTTTAAAGTCAGTGGAAGTCTTTTCATGGTTTTGAGTATGGTTTGGATCAGGCAGTTTCCTAACTACCATTATATAATGAGACTATACGATCAGTTTAGCCCACTAGATGGGCTTCAGTGTAGTTTTTACAGCAGAATCTCTGCTTCTGGGGAAGATGTTGGTGAACATACAGTAAACGTGTTGGAACTGAAAAATGAAGTTCAGCTTCTACTGTTTTATATACTAACTTTGTGCAGAATGTCATCAGATGAGGAGAAAAGCACAAGTCCAGTTTTGCCAAAAGACTCTGTTCGAGGCAGTTCTGTTTCTTCAGATCTTCAGGTAGGAAAAGAGACAACCTCATTTGGTTCACTGTCATGGCATTTTATTTGGCAAAGGATAATTATTAGGAAATTAACAAAATTTACATCTTTTTCATGTTTTACATGTACAGGAGAATAATAAATATGTTAGTGAAAAGAAGCAAATCAGACAAAAAAATCGGAGATTAAAATATCTTCACTTGGATTCCCTTTTGTGCATTTCACAAGAAATTTCAGTTTATGTGAAAATAGTACAGTTTTTTACTTTTTTTTCTTCTGGTGTTATTTGATGTGTGTTAAGTCTTATCGAGACACATAAATTTGACACAGTAGGATAGAAACTCATCATTTCTGAGGGATGAAGTGTAACTGTGTTAGGTTTCTTACGTGGTTGTTGTATGCACTGAACTTTTAAAAATGGATTTATTTCCCTTGGAGTAGGATTGTGGGCAGCTTAATCTCAGAAAGGAAATTTTGGGGGGTGGGGGTGGGGGGTGTGTTCCTGCATCAAGTATACCAAGGTATGCTGGAACTATAATGGTGGGTTTTTTCTTTTTCTGTGCTCATCATTCTTTTGGGAAGATACAAAGGTAGTGGATAAAGTCTTTGTCCTATTCTTTTGAAAGCAGCAGATTTTAATCCTTTAATAATTGGTTATTCATATATGAGGATGGGTGGGTTTTTTCCTTGCATAGGATTCTACCCAAAACAGGCTAGTTTTGACAAAAATAATTTTTGCTAGCTGCCCTGTAGAAATGCATCTCTACTTTTGTCACTTGGTGGAATGGGCATGTACAGCAGATGCATTGTTAAATTAGAGGGTTTTTTTCTTCATGTGGATTTATTTTGTCCCTTTTAAACTACATGTTCATGGGTGATTCGTTTCTGCAGTTTGAATGCTTCTCTATTTGTGGTCATATCTCATGGATAAGTTTTCTTAATCTTCAGCAGTAGTAATGTAATAGTAATTCATCTACGTTTCCAATGCCTTTTGTAGTTGGAAGGCATTGTGTGACAAATTTTGAAAGAGCATAATTTTGTTTTATGATGTGGTTGATTATCAAGCAGGTTCTAAGGTCACCTTTTAGAGAGGTATAAAGTAAACTAATATTAATGAATTTTTGAGTTAATGAATGACTGCTTTGCAACTGAGAACATGTATAGAATAGAATAGTTCCAGTTGGAAGGTACCTACAACAACCACCTCGTCCAACTGCCTGACCACTGCAGGGCTGACCCAGAAGTCAAAGCATGTTGTGAAGGGCGTTGTCCAAATGCCTCTTCCACACTGACAGGGGCATCGACCACCTCTCCAGGAAGCCTGTTCCAGGGTTTGACCACCCTCTGGCTAAAGAAATGCTTCCTCATGTCCAGTCTGATCCTCCCCTGGTGCAGCTTTGAGCTGTTCCCAGGCGTCCTGTCACTGGATCCCAGGGAAAAGAGCTCAGCACCTCCCTCTCCATGTCCCCTCCTCAGGAAGCTGCAGAGAGCAATGAGGTCGCCCCTCAGCCTCCTTTTCTCCAAACTGGACAAACCCAGAGTCATCAGCTGCTTCTCACAGGAGTCTGGTACTGTGGAAAAAGAACACTGGGGTCACAGCTGAGCAATAGGAATATTGACAGGGAAGTACTCTGCTGCTTTTAGATAATTTCCAAGGGCCTTTTTTGTTTTGTTTGGGCCTTCTTGATAATTTGATGCTTTTAAATAGAGGCCAGATCATTACCTTTCCTGATCAAAAGAATCCACTGGCTCTTAGTCTATTTCCATTTGCTTATAACTGAGTTCTACGAGACTTTGTCCATTCAATCCGTTCTTTTCGTGTTGTTAAGTAACCTTGACTGCAATCCTAAGGACAAATTCGGTGTGGCATCTGTAGATTTTTATAATGCTTGAAGAAGGAAGAAAAAATCCAGACTTCTAAACGCTCTTGTGCCCTTTGCTTGTTGCAACACTAATTCGTTTACTTCTACAAAACCAAGGTAGTTTGCACTGAATGATCGAAACTCCTATAAACTTCAGGCCTGAGCACTAGATTCCTGTAGTTTTATGCTTTAACAGAATTTTTGTAGTTGACAGAACAGGTTGAAAGTTTTGTTTAAAGCGGAACAAAGATAATAAGTAAACCAAAGATATATTGTAATTTTTAATTTATGATGTGTTTATTTTAAATTTATTGGTCAATATTGCATTCCGATTGCAGCGTGCTTGTTATGGAATGTTTAAGACTGAGATAGTACACTTTATCACTTAATGTTTCCATTTATGTGTCTTGCATATTGTTACTGCAGTCTCCACAATTTTTTTTGTGCGTGCCTAAGTTTCTGTTTACAACTGGGACACTGCGGGATTTTTATGTTTGCTTTCAACTTTGTTCCAACAGTGTTGTAATATTGTAACTTATAAGCATTTGTTTCCAGATTTTTCACTGGATGCTGTCTGTTGACACTTTCTGTTGGTGCGTGAAAGTGGGTATTCTTGTACATAGTGGATTCTTTGGGTTTTAATAAGAGTCTTAGAACTTGGAAGACTAGATAAATATCCTGCCATAACTTGATATGTATAATTTGAGTGCTCAGGATGTCTATAGTAAGACAGACTGTGTGGTACTGATTAAATTGGGCAACTCAAAATGAGCAACCTATTTGCACCTGACATCTTATCTGCTGTGTCCCTTGAATTGGATAAGGTAGTCATGGAAGCAGCTGGATCAACTCTGACTGAAAACTAACTTGTTTGAGGGGAAGAATTAGGTTTACATTGCTATTTGGTTACACAATCTCTTTGAAGAAGACAGAGAATTGATCTAATGTCTTCTGCACAATCACTGAATTTAGATGAGTTAAGGCAGAGACTAATATATGGGATATTTACTGTGCTGAAATTTTGCTGCAGGAAATTTTGTACAGTTCCATGTAGTTTCTGGTTCAATAACTCATCTGAAGATACCTGTTTTTCTTCTTCTGACATCTGATAAAATCTAATCTGTATTTCTTTAGAAAGATATGGGTATGGAAAAATTGGTAACTTGTTGATTCACAACTAACTATACCTTTTACATGGAATGTGATACTTTTTGCTTATCAAAAAGATACACTGTGTATTTGTTTGTAATTGTGTGGCTTCACATAGGTTTATTTAGCCTTTTAGTTTGAACGTGATAGGCTAGAAGATGGGAAATGAAGATTTGAAAGTAAGCTAGAATTCAGCTAAAATGTAGAGAACCTAGCTTCTTAAAGTGTTCTCTAATTAGTTGAAACCCACATAATTATCAGGGTTACACTGAAAGCTTTAAGACATTATCGTTTTTGACTGGTAAATTCAAAAACTTATTACCTGTAATTGGTACCTGTATCTGATTGTTTCCACTCTAACTTTCCCTAGCTTGAAGAGGAAAATAATTTTTCAATTCACAATTGGTTTCTGAGGTTTGACCTCATTAGGATACTAAACAAATTAGTACCATTAGTATCATTAAATGAAGAAAAAATGGCTGCTAGTGGCCTGGTTTAGTACTTTCCAACTGGCATTTTTTTTCAAAATGTTTAATTAGTGGCTTTTATTGGTTTCAGCATTTAACTGCTACTGGAACTTTTTAAATTTAATTACTGGATTGTATGTTTAAGCTGTAATACAGATTATTCACAGTTTCATGTTGAACTGTAAATACTTTCATACTGAAAATCTGTTTCACTAGAAGGTTTTAAAAAAATTGTAATTGTCTTATTTTGATACATAGTATAATGCCACATACCAGTTAGATTGGTTTATAACTTTTTAACAGAAAATCTTTTATATTAGATATGTATACACATTCCCTATAACTATGTAATTAAAAAAAAAAGCATAATATAAGGTGAGAGTAATTCTATCTAATCTAAAGAAAATGCTGGATATTCAAATGTCTTTCAGTGATTGGCTTTAGAACTGCCACTGAAGAAATAGTGGTGTTGTGGAATGTGAAATGTGGCTGTGTTCAGTGGCATCTTTGTCTTGGCTATAAAAATATGTTTTTTTCTTCACAGTAATAGTAATGCATAGAAATAGTATCAGGTGATTAATATCTTACATGATCTGGAACTTTTTTTTTGTTGATGTTTTTCTTTAAGGTGCCTACTATAGTATCCAATTCTGGCATCTAGCAAAGTCTTTCAGTGTAAGTATTACAGTGCATCTAGTTGTAATCAGAATGAAGGTGCTCATGAAACAAGAGAAAGATGTTATAATCATGGTAGGAAAACAGTGCCCTTTTGCAACTTTAAGGGAAATCATCTTACTTTTCACCATAATAACAATAAAAAACCTCTCAAAAATTATTGAAAACCATTTCCACTCCTTCCTACATATACCTAGTTTTCAGAAATGTAGTTTTATAATTATTTGTCATCACTCTGACAGGATGAATATGAAGAGGTACTTTGTTATGCTGTAGTGACTCCGAAGTTTCAGCAGTGTGTCTCAAAGTGGTCGGAACCTGCTTCAGAACAGAGAGCAGGTGGCAGATTTTCAAGCATAACAGATGATGCCATTCACTGTAAGACTCCAGGTAATATGTGCAAAGCTATGCATTGAGCTTACAAGATCAATGATGTTACTTTTTAATTCAGTTTTCTCATAGCTTCTGTTTGAAAAACACACATAGGTCGTATATAATACATTTATGTTTTGCACAACAAGAAATTTAGGAAGGCATATTCATTGAAGAGTTCTCCCTCTGACATAGCTTTCAGATGATAATATTAATGTGTTCTCTGTGTTTTGTGATGCAGATGTTTAAAGTAATTGGTGTAATAATGCAGAAAGGGGTGCCCTTACTTAGAGCATACTTCATAGAAATTTGGCAGGTCACAACTGTTTTTGCTCATACCTGCGCTGCCATGATAGATAAATGAGTATTTAAAGTATGACTATTTGGAAGTAAGGGTTCCTTAAAAGGGCTTTGTATAATGACTCATCAGGTCACTACATGAATGCCATTCTTGCACTTTTAGTTCAGTCACTCTATTCTAGTTTTACTTCATTGCTTGGTATTTAGGACTGTATAAACTTAGTGTCTTGTGATGCATTAGTAGCACTGGTATTTATGGTTATGTGTTGTTTGCTTTTGTCACTAGCATTTAGAGTGAGGAAGCTCTCTTAATTTTTCTTCAGAAGAGATAGTAAGCAATCATACCTGTGTTATTTCTTTACTGAGGAGTTTAGCTTAATCGGGAAGAATTTACTTTAATTTCTATTCTTTATCATGCTATTTTATGATAAAAATATTTACCTACAGTTTTCTCTTCACTCCTCTTGTGACCCTTGAAGATGGATTTATCTCTACTATTTAGAGGAGCGTGAGGTGTAACGTGTAGATAGTTTTACTACTAGAGGCTAAGCAGCATTGAAGTGCTGTGTAAATCTGGTGCTAATCGTTGTCTTGAAGTAAATGTTGTTCATGGCTAATGTGTGCAGGAACTCTTGGCCATGATGATCAGAGGTAAATAACTCTCTGCTAAGCAGGAATTTACTAGTGTGTTTGCAAAGGGCAATACAAACACTGAAAGTTGTTTATCTCATATTAGAGAACGAACCATGAGTAAAAATAAATCTATCTTCTTAAATTGTATGTTGTTTTCACTGGAATATAAAGCAGTCTTAGTAAGCTGTCAACTACCATTTAGTTAACTCATGTTAATACAACATAATAAAAAAATACCTAGAAACATATTATTAAAATAAGGAAGGTGATTAAAATGAGGGTGGTAGTATTGGTTATGCTCTGTATCCTTCCAAAAGAGTGAGTGCAGTGGAGTTTAGATACGTTCAGACACCTAAACCAAAACCTCCCTTTCCAATATGCCATAAGGAGAGATGTTTTATCATTTTCATAAACTAATGGAGAATCTTAGTCCTTAAGGACATCATATCCATAACTTCTCCCCATGCAGAATTAGTGTGGTTGTTATGAATATCAGACTACCATAGGACATGTAGAAGGAGTGATTTTGGGTTCAGTGAAAGCATGAGAATGGAGATTTGGAGAGAAAGAATGTTGTGTACTGGAGGTAGATCTGGAATTAGAATGTGAATAATGTTAGAAAAACTTCTGCCAACAGAAGAGTTTCAAGTGCAGCCTTTGCATTTTGACTTTTACATATTGAATGTTATTAATTTGATCCAGTGTAGTTATGTCCTGAGTAGGAGTTGTACCATAAGAAATCCGATCAGTAGAAGCTGCTGGTGTTTTGTACTATGGCGATTATTCCTGAACAGTCAAACATCTTAGAAAAAAATTCCACTGTAGTAAGAGGTATTGCTGCAACTCCTAGAATAAGAGAAGTTGCTTGGCATTTAAAAAATCATGATACATAATGTTTTGATTGGGGGAATAAAACATCCTCATCTGTTACGTCAGGTCGAGGTACCAGAAATTGCAGTCTGATAGATTCAACTAAAGGTAACGTTTGAAGTAGCTGTGACTTCCGTAGCTAAAGAACATTCTGTGGCTACTGTTGAGAGTCCAATACTCTCTGATGAGATTCCTATAGATACTGCACACGAGGAGGGTTTAGTCTTCTAATATCAGTTTACTTATCTGATGACATTTGCTGTTACAGGGATCTTGGTTTAGCAAAGAGATAGAGCAATATACTGAAATCGCAATGCAAACACATGTCATGGTCCGTTGGATCTCTCAAATTTACAGATCAGCATGCTCTGTAAATGAAATTTTATTTTCTGAGCTCGGTAGGGAACAAGCACCTCAAACGAGATTAATCCCCTTTGTATAGACTAGTCTAACATGTTAGAGTTCGCTAATTCATCCCTTAATTCATGAGGTTTCTAACTCATAAGTTCTCCTGTTCATAACTTGCAACTTGTAGTTCACACCCCTGTGAGCAAAATAGTTGCCTAACCGACAGAGAGAGTGCTCGTCCTACCTCCTCCATTGCGGTGCAGACCTCCCCTCTATCACACTGAGAAGCACGAAAGCCTCAGCCGTTCAGCTGCTGTTGGATACATTTCAAAAGCTTTTTGGTAAGCTGATGTGTTTATTTATACCTTCCAGCTTGCAGTTTTGTTCTATGCTATTTCTGTAGGTTAGTGGATTCTGAAGGAACTGCCAGACAGTCAGTCAGTGTGCAAGGATTACAGCTGCAGAAGACAGCAAGCTGCAGGTGATAATGGCTGCATGGTGGCCTTCAGCCCTTCTGTCAGTCATGTCCTGCCTACAGGCTGCTCTTGCCTTGACCTAACGGCACTATTCCCACGATACACCAGGCCTTAGCATGCGCTGTGTGTTAGCCAAAACCTGAGCAGGACTTGGTGAACAGTCAAAGCATGGTAGAGTAACTGTGATATGCAGTTAGATCACAGTACAAACATGATTCCTGCTACCAGTCTCTGTACACTAACTATCGTGACACCGGGCATCCTTAGTTGCCAGAAAGGACTACGTGGGTTAAAGCCAGCTCAAGCCCGTTGCTCTGTTGAAAGTTCATTTTGCTGATTGCTCAGTTTTTATACTGTGTTAGGTTGAGCCAACACTTTCCACGTGTTCCTCTGGCTGGCAGAGGAATGCACTCACACTTTTTGATTAACTAAGGCCACTTACATAACCAGTTGATCCACTCAAACGGTACAGCCATTTACGAAAAACAAAGGCCACCCTCTGTCCCTCCCTGTGTTGAGAGAAGTTCAGCTTTCTTTACAACAGCTGTGGTCACTCCCTGTATTATTCCCTGAGCATCATTAGCATAGTGCTTATCTCCGCTGAATCTTACTCCTTGTAGCAGGCTGTTGATCAGTCAAACTAGCAGATTGCCAGGTTTCAAATACACTTGTGAAACTCTTGAATTGTAGAGCAGTTCAGGTCAGCTGCTGGAAGCATTTTGCGGCCTGAGAAGTTGTTCTTAAAAGGGAAGTAGAAAATTTCAAACCCGTATGTGTGGAATGATATTATGGAGCAAATCCCAATTCAGGTCTTGTCTCCAGTGCTCTCTCTGCTGAGTTTTGTCGCCTGGTTTGAGTCGAACATTGTTTTGTAAGGGAATATTTGTGATGTGTGATACTACTGTTTGATGCTGTGAAAAGCCAGAATTGAAGACTCAATAGTCGGCAGACTATTAAGCAGGTATTCTTTATTGCGGCGCCGGGCACACGGGGGATCTCTCCTCCAAACGTGTGCACCGAAGAGACACAGTTACTAGGTATTTATGCTATGTTAACATACATATTCATTACATTTCCAAGAAATGTTTATCATAGTAATGGCTTTTCCAAGAATTCATTAATATATGGTAATGTCCGTCGCACATGTTTGTTTGGCGTCTCTCGGCGGGGGGCTTCCGATTATCCCTCAGCCTCCTTATCTCTGTAGTTTGCATACCTGTTCTCCCAAGGCCCAGGCACCTAAAGGGATTATTCAGGAGTCCCTTGTCTTGCAACCGTCCTAATATTCACAAAGAACCAAGACTTGTTTCTGACCACCTGAAGTGATAACATCCCCTACATGTTACATTTGTTACATTTACAGTTATCATGTTCATAAAAAAGAGGATCAGAATGAAAACACTAGACTTGGGTGCTTAGTTTTTGGTAGATGGCTATATACTCCGTTTTCAGTCATCTTTGAGAATATTTTAGCCAGCACCATCTGCTGTCTCTGTAACTGGGTGATAGGGGCTATGCTCTTACTTTTTTTTTTTTTTTTTTGCCTGGGGCCAAACGTGTAGCCTGTGAAGTCTTTGTTCCTTTTTACTGCCTAAAGGTCTGCAATAGAAGTGAGAGGACAAATTTCCATTCCCTTGGTTGCTTCTCTTGAAACATTTGAATAGAGTTATCTTTTAATATGCTTGGTATTACTAATTAACAATAGTCATTTGCAAGCTGTGATTAATTGTCATGGGGGAAAGAAAGGCTCTTATACTTGATGGTAATAAAAATTTTGCATTGCAAAAATGTTAGCAAATAGCTGCCCTCAGCTTGGGCCACTAATAGAAAATCACGTGGGAGAGTCTGTCAGAGCTTATTTACTTACTAAAAGCAGAAAATGTCAGATACTAGATGAACACATAAAAAACTCAAAACAGTAGTATTGGGATAACAGACATCTGAAAAGACAGCTGATTTTGTTACGTCTACTATAAACAAGAATGCTCTCTAGAGATTTGTTAGATGCATGTGGCGGTTATTTAGTGAAGTACATTTTCATACTTCACCCTATTCAAATGGTTTCATGTCCATGGTATCTTAGTGCACTGTAACTGAGTGACATCATGTAGTGCAGTGGGAGGAAAAGAGTTGACAGAAGGAGACTGTCACCGAAAATCTGGGAATAAAACCTCTTAACACCAATGTAGTGTTAACAGGCAGCATTCTTTATTGCAGCGCTGGATGCACGGGGGATAATTCCGCCGAACGTGCATACCTCATACCTTTTCCGTGCAGTTTATATAGATCAAAAATACACATATTCATTAGGTTACATAACTTATCCCTTTCATATTCAAATCAGTTCCAAGAAGTCATTTCCATAGACTCCTCCCAGCGGCGCTTGCGCAG